ATTGCCTAAAATAGTATTTTGCAATACATTTTCTTCAAAAAATTATAGAGAAGTAATACAACCCCAATTGCGAAATAGTTGGGACAAAGTGTAAATTGTGAATAAAATCAAAACGCAATGACTTTCAAATCACACCAGCCAGTATTTTATTCACAATAGAACAGAGATAACATAGCAATTGTTGAAACTGAGAAATTTTACAAATTTTTCCACAAAATGAGCTCATTTTAAATTTGATGGCTGCTACAGGTCTCAAAAAAGTTGGGGCAGGGGCCTGTTTACCATGGTGTAGCATCCCCTCTTCTTTTTAACACAGAGTGGAGGCGTCTGGGCATTGAGGAGACAAGTTTCTTGAGTTTAGCCATTGGAATTTGATCTCACTCTTGTCTAATACAGGCTTCCAGCTGCTGGAGAGTTTTGGGTCTCTTTTGACGGACTTTTCGTTTAATTATGCGCCAAATGTTCTCAAACGGTGAGAGATCAGGACTGCAGGCAGGCCAGTTCAGCACACGGACTCTTCTACTAAGAAGCCATGCTGTTGTAATAGCTGCAGTATGTGGTTTTGCATTGTCCTGCTGAAATACACAAGGCCATCTCTGGAATAGATGTCATCTGGAGGGGAGCATATGTTGCTCTAAAACCTTTATATACCTTTCAGCATTCATGGTGCTTTCTCAAAACATGCAAGTGTCCCACACCATATGCACTAATGCATCCCCATACCATCAGAGATGCTGGCTTTAGAACTGAATGCTGATAACAGGAGGGGTGGTCTTTCTTCTCTTTAGCCCGGAGGACACAACTCCCATGATTTCCAACAAGAATGTCAAATTTGGACTCGTCTGACCACAGGACACTTTGCCACTTTGCTGCAGTCCATTTTAAATGAGCCTTGGCCCACAGAACACGGCGGCACTTCTTGATTGTACTCAACGATGGCTTTCTTTTTACATGATAGAGTTTTAGATGGCATCTGTGGATGGCACGGCGGACTGTGTTTAGAAACAGTGGTTTCTTGAAGTATTCCTAAGCCCATTTAGTAATGTCAATGACAGAATCATGTCCCTCAGTGATGCAGTGGCGTCTGAGGGTCTGAAGATCACGGGCATCCAGTAAAGGTCTTCGGCCTTGTCCCTTACGCACAGAGATTTTTCCAGTTTCTCTGAATCTTTTGATGATGTTATGCACTGTCGATGATGAGACCCTCAAAGCCTTTGCAATTTGACGTTGAGGAACATTGTTTTTAAAGTATTCCACAATTTTTTTTACGCAAGCCTTCACGGGTTGGAGAGCCTCTGGCCATCTTTACTTCGAGAGACTCAGCTTCTTTAAGACATCCCTTTTATAGCCAATCATGATACACACCTGACGCCAGTTAATGTAATCACTTGCTAAATGTTCTTTCAGCTGATTTTCTTCTATATTAATTGCTTTTTCAGCCTTTTTTTCCCTGTGTCCCAACTTTTTTGCGACCTGTTGCTGCCAGAAAATTTGAAATGAGCTCATTTTGTGGATAAAAATGTAAAATGTCTCAGTCTCAACATTTGAAATGTTATCTATGTTCCATTGTGAATAACGTTGGCTCATGTGATCTAAAAGTCATTCAATTTTGATTTTATTCACAATTTACACTTTGTCCCAACTATTTCGGAATTGGTGTTGTATATAAGGACCCCTTTTAGCAGAATTGGTGGTGTATAATCATCACTGCACACTACTGTATGCAAACTTCTTACTCCACTAGCTAACAATGTCACTTTCCCTCCAGAGGTGGCATGTAAGCACAGCCACTGCAGCTACCAGTGTGTACTGAGTCACCTCAATCTGACAAACAGTAAAGAGCTTTCAGCAGCCCGACCTATCAACAAATGGAAAAAGCCAACAGAAGTATACTTGGAGCTGGACCTTTACGAAATCCTTGAAGTGGTGCGTGAACTCCGTCCAGCCACCGTTGCACATCTGACTTTTCTGTATCAACCGAATCAATTATGTTAGCTACCTTCTGACAACCCTTGAGAATAAGTCATAATGAGTAAAATCAGACTGCAATTTAACCATTTGAGGTGTAAGATCACGGAATACGTGATTATAATCTTCTTGATGGAATACTGATGCAACAATTGAATGTTGATTTAACTACTGCCACTGATTTCAAGTAACTGAGTTCTGAGATACGGATTTAGCGATGGTCAAACTGCTAGTTGGATTGTGCTTCTGACTCCGCGCTTGATTCCTGGTCTGGACTGTAAAACTTACTGTAGACGTAGATCAACTTTTGTGCCAGATGTTTTTGTTGCAGTTTTTTGGAAGTTTCTCTGTGCTTTTTATGACGTATCCTTATCCAAGCATTTACTGTTTTTTGTCAATATATCAGTACAATAAATTTGAATGAGATGAGCTGCCAGATAGCTCACTCAGTAAAGCTTCGCGTTGCGAAGCAGAAGTGACTATCACGGCACGGGTTCGATCCCTGTCTCGTACCAGCCGACAGTGGTCGGCAGCTCTTTTCAGAGTAGTGCTCAATTGACCTATAGCTAAGCCCCACCCCCTCCACTGACTCGGACAAACAATGAACATTTTAGAACAGGCGCTAATGGCTGGTATCACAGTCGGAGATATTTTTCAGGATGCTATCAATGATTTTTGGCGATAGAAGGCTCAAATATCATCAAGAAGTCAGCAAATATGATTACACTATACATTGGAGGGATACATTAATGCATTTAGAGTGGAGAAGGTCAACAAAAAGTTTAAATTAGAAGCTAAAATTTTCAGGTCTCAGTGCAAATGCGATCAACCGCATCTCGTTTCCGTCACCCTCTCACACAAGACAGAGGATCAGCATTGTTCATGCACCGCAGGGTAATACATTCAATTTACGTATTATAATTGCTAGCTATCGAATTTAAGAAATCTAACCTGACGTGACTGAACTCCTAAGTAAACAAAGTGATATGGTGAACAATGCAGCCAGGAGCTCACAGCCAAGGTACGTCAGCACTGAAGTTAGCCATAGAGTTTACTAACTTGAGCTAACGTTAGCTAACATAGTGATGTAAAAGATAACTTTACATTAATATCCAGCGAAGTGAAAAGATGTCACCTTAAACACAATGTTGACTTAGCTTGGAACAAATGTCGACATCCTTGTTGACCTTTGTTAGCTACGTTAAGCTGATTGGGGGGTCTTCCACAAAGCTTTAAGCTGCTTTCACACCAGACGCGAAACAAATTTTTCGCACGACAGATTACATTCAAAGTCAATGCAAACACGCATATTTGCGTCTTTGCAATGACTTTGGATGTAATCGGTCGTGCGGAAAATTCGAATCGCGTCTGGTGTGAAAGCAGCTTTATACAGAGGAGACACTCCTCTCGGTTATGATGTGGCTTTGGGAAGGGTATAAAATACACCCTATCGACCAGCCTCTTGGGATACCCCGTATCAGAGTTAAATTTACCCCAAGCACAGCGTTTGACCATTTTTTAAACTTAGGAACATGTTAAAACCCCATGAAAGCGAACGATTCGGAGTTTCCATAATGCATTTCAATGGAAGGTCAGGCTCAGAATGTCTGAGTATATGGGAAGAGAATATGCACTGTGATTGGCTCATCGCATTTGAGGGTGGGGCTTAGCCATAAGTCAATTGGCCAATGCGCTACAAGGATGCAAATTTGGAAGGGTCTGCCGGGATAGGGTATCGTAAATAACAAAATTCTCAGGCGCCTCCTGTTGGCCAGATGGGCACTCGTTAGGAAGATTCTAAGCTCGTTCATGTTCGGGTATCCTCCGCCCTCGTTCTGAGCTTGCGAAGTTTCAACCAATGAGTGTACAAGAAGCAGTGGCGACGGGCGCGTGCTTCGGAGGAGAGCCGTGAGCTGTCTCACTCTCCTGAGTTGGCAATAGGGGGCCACATATGCGAAAAGCCTTGTACATAGTTCCCCAATTGGACATTCCAGATTCGAGTGGGATTGGAGATGCCAAATTTAAAAAAAAAAAAAAAATTTGAATGAGATGTGCAGTAATTCACTATTGAAAACGTATAGCTGCCATTGTGTTCACTTGCAGGTTGAAAAATCCCAGACTTTCACCCCATTCATCAGGACCTATATGGTGCGTAGTGAACGTGGCCTTTTCTAATGGGCCACTCCGTGTCATGACATGCTAAAGTCTATGCAGTGCATTCACAGAAACTTCCAGCAGCATTTTCATCCATTGCGCCCTACCCCCTCCAAAATATATTGTCAAACAGGCTGTCCAAGATTTCCAAAGAGATGAGCTGGGCTTGCACCAAATTTTGCTTTTTCCAAAATTACTCAAGTCTGAATAACCATACCAGTACATCTTGAAGTATACAGTACAGTGCAAAAGTCCTTGGCACATTTAAAGCAATTTTGTTGGGCAAAAATGTTTGCAAAAATGATGAAATAAAAAGGTTCTCGTAACTGAGAAATGTACATTACAGAGCTGTAACCTGTTAAAACCTAAATCAAATCAATATTTGGTGCAACTACACTTTGCCAAAAAATTTTGGACACTGTCCTGTTGTGCTATAGTTTTATAAGATGATTGGCGTTTGCTTGTTCTGAGCAGAGTGGAAAACTTGCCACCATTCCTCTTCAGACTGACTGTTTCACTTGCGTCTATCCCTCCAATGAATTACAAACAGCCATGATGATGTTGACATTGAGGCTCTGTCAAGACCATACTATCTGTTTCGACTATTTTTAATGGAATACAAACATTTATTTATGAAACTTTTCTTGAAATTAGCATTTGGAATTTCAAATTTAATTTTTATCTTCAGGAACTCTAATATGGAATCAACAAGTAAACATATAACACAGATTTAAATTGACAAAGGTGCAGGGTGCCTAAGACTTTTGCATAGTACTGTATTCCCCCCAGCTCTTAGTCAGGTTTCCCCAACAGTTAGTCACGACCCACTTATACACCTGGGTGGAGTGAAGTGTTTTTGCCCAAGAACACACCACAAAAGCCATGGCAAAGACTTGATCTTTGGGCCTTTCGATCCCAGGTTAAGCACACTAAACCACTTCACCACCAGGCCCCCTCAACAGAACTCTGAAAATAGTTAAAAATTTTTTTTGAAATATCGCTTCTTTTCACACCCTGAAAAATTACTATACTGTTAATATGGCATCAACAGGGGATGGTTTTGACTGAATACGTTTGTAATCCATACTGTCCTGTCCAATCGACGTCCTTTAACACCTGTTCCAATTCATCTGAGATCTGAATGCATGTTCACATATAACGTGAATCATAACGACTCCTTGTTCTATTTTAAATTTTGTTTCATTTCGATGTCAATCAAATGACTAAGTACAAAGAAAAACATTTGACTGGAGCATTGGAAAATCATATTAAGTCCGTAATATTTGACTGACATCCTCCATTATCCATGATGAATCAAGAAATGTAGTATTCCATTCTTGGCCAGTGTTTTTTTTTTTTTTTTAAGTGAACTGATTCCAATGCATTTGTGGGAGTAGATGAGACCCTCTTTCTCAGGAAAACTTAGTTTATTTTGTAACGTATTTTTATGTAACCTCTGGTTTTTCAGAAATGGAAAGACGAGCTGATCTCTTGGGACCCGGCGAAGTTCTGTGAAATCAAGAAAGTGGTCATTCCCAGGGAGATGATCTGGCGGCCTGATCTTATCGTCTTGGAATGGTGAAGTCTCCTGTCAATTCCAGTGCCTTGCCATTTCAGGAGTGAAAAGGCCTCCACAATCTTACCTTGAAATGCATGAGTATTCCCGACTTGTTCTGCTTTTCTTTGTCTGAGCAGAAATTAAATAAACTATTCACCCTAGTCAAGTGAGCCCAGCCTTGAATTTCCACCAGTCAAAAATGCTTGTTTCCCTTTTTATAGAATTGCTTGACTTCTATTTTTGTTCCCTTCAACAGACAAAACACATGCAGATCAGGTTAATTGAGCGGAGATTAATTTACATCAAAGTGTCAGCGTGTGAGTCTATATACTGCGGATAAGAATATGAGTTTTATCACAGTTGGGTGTCTATAGCTAAATGGTTTCGATGATGACTCAAAATGTTTGTCAATAAAACCCCAGTGCTCCCACATTAAGATCTGCGCAGGTGCTCGCGATGCGTCATGAGCTACGCCCTTAATCCTAAATTACTTCAGGGTGGCTTGGCTCCTGCTGAGTCTAATTAATAATAATAAAAAAAAATTGATGAAAGTGCCTGCTAGACCGTCTAATTCAAATGTATGTATTGTTTATCCAAGAATCATTACAGCGCTCATGTCTGTTTGTTTGGTTGCAGCATACAAGATCACCATAAAATGTTTGTGATGCCGTATGTCCAAGTCTACTATGATGGGAGTGTGTCCCAAGGAGATGCCATGAAAGTAAAGAGCACCTGCAACATAGATGTCTATAAGTTTCCCTTTGACACCCAGAGCTGTGACCTCACATTCTGCTCTGCACTGTATACAGGTGAGCTCCTCCCCAGCAGATGCACTCTATAACCCCCTGCCTCTTAGCCTACTGCAGAGTGCTAGAATTCACCTCAGATACTAGTGAAATCTAGAACCTCACATCTCCCACAAGTGAGTTCTGGAATTCCATCTCTGATACTTGGAAAGTCTGGAACCACACATCCTGACCAGGTGAACAACTCCTCATACAAGCAAAGTCTAGAACCCTACCTCTCCTTTGAGTGAACTCTTAAAACCCACCACTTATACAAGTGAGCTCCTGAACACAATCTCTTTTACAAGTAAACTGAAGAAGGCTACCTCTCCTTCTAGTGAATTCTTGAACCCATGCTCTGCTGCCAGTGATTTCAACAACCAAACCTCCCCAACAAATGAATGCAAGAACCCCACCTCTACATCCATAGAACAATAGAACCTAACCTCTCCTTCAAGGAAAACTCGGAACCCCACCACTCCTAAAACTGAAATTTAGAACCCACAGAACTTAAATGGATATTAAGGCCACTCCCATTTGAATCAACCTACCAGGACAGCTAGCACAGCAGCCATTTTTATGATATCACTCGGTGCAGCCGGACCTACTTCCGTATATATGCTGATGTCCTCACATTAAGTGACTAACGGCAATTGAGTGATTGTGGTCGACGACATTTAATGCAACATTTCTGAAGCATTGCTGCCAATGAGTACTGTAGCCACAATACGCCTTCCACTAATGCACATAAATGTGAAAGCTTAATTGACTGCTCTTCTTCAAAAGGCCGTCCAATGTTATTTAATGAAATCTGTCAATTATGGTCATTGTGTAGCCACCATACCAATGAACTCCAATTACACTCTAATGCACTCCCAACTAAAGGAATATTTCTTGTCGGATTTGACCCTAGATGAACTTGACTTGGCTAATTTGTTGCTTTAGGTTATTTGTTCATTGCTTGGATAATTTACACACTTGAAGTTTACTCAATGAATCATGTTTATAGTTTGTGTTCTTGTGCATGATTGAAAGCCGTCTGAGCGCAATAACAGTAGTCCAAATTACATTACAGGAAGGAGATTGATTCAGTCAATTGACAAACACTGATTTTGGTTCACAAGTTTGGAAAATTAAAAAAAGAAAAGACAAAATTACGTGAAATTCTATTAATTACGCACAAGCACAGTAGGAAAATAATTTGTCTGCTGAAAACATAAAGTTTTCATTTTATAAAAAAAGATTTTTTAATTGATGTAAATTGTTTTTATTTTATGCAATTTATTATTTCATTTTTGCAATTATGTAATTCTGTGGGAGAATAGACTTCATTTTATCATCCAGATACGGGTACTAAAACTAAATGAAAAGAATTAAATTTAAAATTGTTTTTTTTAAATGACTGCACCTGCAAATAATGAAAACAAAACATAATTCACAGCATTTAATCATAAAAATAGGGGTGAAACAAAATCTACATTTCATTCCATACATTCCAAAAATATGAAGAATTCTACAACCCCAATTCCGAAATAGTTGGGACAAAGTGTAAATTGTGAATAAAATCAAAATGCAATGACTTTCAGATCACATGAGCCAATATGTTATTTCCAAAAGAACATAGATAACATTTCAAATGTTGAAACTGAGACATTTTACATTTTTATCCACAAAATGAGCTCATTTCAAATTTTCTGGCTGCAACAGGTCTCAAAAGTTGGGACACAGGCAAAAAAAGGGCTGAAAAAGCAATTAATATATAAGAGAATCAGCTGAAAGAATATTTGGCGAGTAATTACGATAACTGGCATCAGGTGTGTAACATGATTGGCTATAAAAGGGATGTCTTAGAGAGGCTTAGTCTCTCAGAAGTAAAGATGGCCAGAGGCTCTCCAAACTGTGAAGGCTTGTGTAAAAAAAAATTGTGGAATACTTTAAAAAGAATGTTCCTCAACGTGAAACTGCAAAGGCTTTGAAGGTCTCATCATCGACAGTGCATAACTATGGGGCGCCGTTTGTAAAATAAGGTGTGTTGTTTTATACCGTACAGTTTTTGCACATTTAGCATCAAAAACCGAGAAAAAAGATTGTTGCCATTTTAAACCGTATCTTTTTCACACGTTTACGCACAAATATGTGTAAACTGGTGTAGAGTCAAGTCATGTACGACCCACAGAACAGCAATGCTAAGCTGACAGTGCCATCTATTGGCAAACAGGTTAAATCTAAACCTTAAGTCTTAAATCTTAAATCCTAAATTATATATATATATATAATTAAATATTTAATCATATATATAATTTAGATTTGTATTTAACAATTTGATTTATATTTAACGTTTAGATTTAGTATTCAATATCCTCTTTTTCCTTCTACAAACAGTTATACTACAAAAAAACGATATCACCTTTTCTACACCAATTTACACATATTTGTGCGTAAATGTGTGAAAAAGATACGGTTTAAAATGGCAACAATCTTTTTTCCCGGTTTTTGACGCAAAATGTGCAAAAACTGTACGGTATAAAACAACATACCCTATTTTACAAACGGCGCCCCATACATAACATCATGAAAAGATTCAGAGATACTGCAAAAATCTCTGTGCGTAAGGGACAAGGCCGAAGACCTTTAGTGGATGCCCGTGATCTTCGGGCCCTCAGACGCCACTGCATCACTCACCGGCATGATTCTGTCATTGACATTACTAAATGGGCCCAGGAATACTTCAAGAAACCACTGTCTGTAAACACAGTCCGCTGTGCCATCCACAGATGCCACCTAAAACTCTATCATGCAAAAAGGAAGCCATTGTTGAGCATGACCCAGAAGCGTCGCCGTGTTCTGTGGGCCAAGGCTCATTTAAAATGGACTGTAGCAAAGAGGCAAAGTGTCCTGTGGTCAGACGAGTCCAAATTTGACATTCTTGTTGGAAATCATGAGCGTCGTGTCCTCCGGGCTAAAGAGGAGAAAGACCACCCCTCCTGTTATCAGTGTTCATTTCAAAAGCCAGCATCTCTGATGGTAATTTGATGCATTAGTGCATATGGTGTGGGACACTTGCATGTTTTAAAAAGCACCATGAATGCTGAAAGGTATATAAAGGTTTTAGAGCAACATATGCTCCCCTCCAGACGACATCTATTCCAGGGAAGGCCTTGTGTATCTCAGCAGGACAATGCAAAACCACATACTGCAGCTATTACAACAGCATGGCTTCGTAGTAGAAGAGTCCGTGTGCTGAACTGGCCTGCCTGCAGTCCTGATCTTTCACCGATTGAGAACCTTTGACACATAATTAAACGAAAAGTCCGTCAAGGGAGACCCAAAACTCTCCAGCAGCTGGAGGCCTGTATTAAACAAGAGTGGGATTAAAATTCCAATGGCTGAACTCCAGAAACTTGTCTCCTCAATGCCCAGACGCCTCCACTCTGTGTTAAAAAGAAGAAGGGATGCTACACCATGGTAAATAGGCCCCTGTCCCAACTTTTTTGAGACCTGTAGCAGCCATCAAAACTGAAATGAGCTCATTTTGTGGATAATCAACATTTGCTATGTTATCTCTGTTCTATTGTGAATATAATACTGGCAGGTGTGATTTGAAAGTCA